TACCTTTCTCCCACAAGTTTCCAAATGCAGATCCCCTTGCACTTCGTTTGCTGGAAAGGATGCTTGCTTTTGATCCTAAAGATAGACCTACTGCAGAAGAGGTGTAGTATGCTCTTGTCTTTTATGCAGCGTTATCGTGATGGCTATTGATATTTCCAAGTCCAATGTCTTAAAGATTGTATTGTGTCGAAAACTACCAGGCACTTGCAGACCCATATTTCAGGAACTTGGCTAGAGTTGAAAGAGAGCCTTCTGCTCAACCAGTTACAAAAATGGAATTTGAATTTGAACGGCGAAGGATAACAAAAGAGGATGTAAGAGAGCTAATATACCGAGAGATTCTTGAGTACCATCCAAAGATGTTGAAGGAGTTCATAGAGGGGACAGAACCGACAAGTTTCATGTATCCTAGGTATTGCTATTACTTATTTAATATTTTTCCTCTTTCAACATCTTGTTGATGCATGGTTTTCTTTTGTGCCTATTTCCTTATAATGGAAATACTTTCCAAAGTTTTGTTACCAACGTCTTCCAGTGTTGTAAAAATCGGCCTAGGCGGCTGCCTAGGTGCCCCTAGGCCGAGGGGATTTCACCCCTAGGCGCCTTTTAGTCGGCTAGCCAACTAGGTGCCCAACTTGGCCAACTCAGTGCCTAACTCTGCCGAGTTGGTGGCCAACTTGGCGCCTAACTCGGCCTAGTCTTTTTTTTTTTTTTTTAGGGTTTAGGGCGGCTACACATTATTATTATTATTATTATTATTATTATTATACTCGGCCGCCTAGGCGCTAGGTGCTCCCCGACCACCCGACTAGCGCCTAGTACCTTCTGCAACCTTGACATCTTCTCAATTTTCTATCCAGGGAACTTAGTACCTCCCTGAACCTGTTTTTCATTTTTTTTTCTTCCCATTTTAGGAATTTCATTGAGGGGTGTTTTAGTGATGCTGAAATGCAATGATGTTGTAGGTAGATTATAGCTATAATTTCTGCCTTCTAAAGTAATTGAGATTGGTAGCTGTATTTATGATACTTGGCTAGCACTCCTAAGATTCATTTCCAAGTTCACTAAATTACCACTACTGTATAATTTGGCTTAGACCACTCAACCATCCTACCATTAGTGCTACATCAGAGACATGGTTGGGAGTGAAGTTGGTGGCAAATAGATTTTGATTATCTAATATGAGTAGGGGTGTAAACGAATCGAATCGAGTCAAATATCTTAGTCTTCGATTCAAATTCGACTATTTTGAGAACTATTCGTATTCGTATTCGATTCGGCTACATTGTTTGAATATATTCAATTCGACTCAAATATTCGAATTCAAAATGTCTAACTTAATTTTTTTAAAGTTCTCCAATAAATTAAGATAAAATGTAATAAAAATTTAAATAGCATAAAATTTTCTATTAGTATACTATTATACTAATATTCTATATTCTATTAATATACTAATTTTTTAAAGTTCGAATATATATATATATATATATATATATATATATATATATATATATATATATATATATATATATATATATATTTGAATATAGTCGAATCAAATATATTCTGATTCGTATTCGAATCACAAATCGAATTCAAAACATTTGATTTGTTTACACCCTTAAATATGAGTGTGTTATCTTAATTTTGCCAGTGAGTAGCCTATTGCTTGTTTTTCTCGAGTGCAATCAAACATCTAATGGGTATTCTTTTAAACTTGTGATTAATTACAGTGCAGTTGACAAATTTAAGAAACAGTTTGCATATCTTGAAGAGCACTATGGAAAAGGTGGAGTGGTTGCTCCTCCCGAGAGACAACAAGCGTCATCCCTACCCAGGTAACTATGCGATAGCGTTTCCTATTCTACTTCTTAGCTTCCTGCATACCCTTTCATTGCATTGGTTGGTTGGTGTTTCTAGCTTTCCCTTTTCTGTATTTTTACTTTCAATTTTTTATTTTCTCGTATTCTTTTTGTTCCGTTTGGCCACTAATAGTGATTTGGACACAGGCCATCTGTGTTATATTCAGACAATTCAGTGCAAAATCCGGCAGAAGTTGCAAATGATCTATCTAAATGTTCTATCAAAGAAGGTGATAGACTGGACAGGAATTCTGGGATTCCTACGACGAGGCTTCCTCTTCAAGTACCTCAAGGTATTCAAGGCAGAATTTATTTTGGGAAAAATGCAATTTTAGTCCCTCAATTGTTCCTTGCTAGCAGTTTTAGTCCCTAACTTTTTATCGTTGCAATATACACTCCTAACTTTTCAATAAAGTTGCAGTTTTAACCCCTGGAGCAACAGAACAATTAAACTCTATTAAAATTATACTTAGTACATGGGTATTTTAGTACTTTTTAATGTTTCTTCAATTATAATCTTATTTTGTCTTGATATTTCATTTGTAAAATAAAAAAACATGATTTTAACAGGGTCGTGTAGGGAAAATAGGGACGATGTGCCACAATTGGAAAGTAAAATTTTAGGGAAGAAGGTTGCCAAATCTCTATTTTGCATATGAAATGCCAAAACTGAAATGTGATAAAGAACAAAGATAATAAAATTTTAAAATATCCATGTACCAAGTAAAATTTTAATAGAGTTTAATAGTTTTGTTGATCCAAGGGTTAAAAATGCAACTTTTTTGAAGAGTTAGGAGTGGTGTATATTGCCACGGTAAAAAGTTGGGGACTAAACCTACTAGCAAGGAACAATTGAGGGACTAAAATTGCATTTTTCCCTTTATTTTTTGATGGGTGTGGGGTAGATTGTTATGCTCAATTGCTTTCGGAAGCCAATATTCTTTTACACAGAACTTTTTACGTTTCTCTCGTAATTTAGTTTGGAGTGTAACTAATACACATTTTTGTTAAGCCTTAGATTTATCTCGTGTACAATAATTGAATGTCAGTTGATTCTTAGGAGATGATGAAGTTATACATTTTCTCCTAAATTAATAGGCGGTTCATAATGCAGGTGATGCTGCTAGGCCCGGTAGGATTGTCAGTTCTGTGATGCGCTATAACAGTGGATCAGCAGTGACAGCAAGCGAGGCGATTGAACAGCGAAGAATGCTCAGGAACCCTACTACTATGCCTCAGTACGCCATTTCTAACCCTTCGTATTCCAGGAGACACCCGAGCTGTAAAAACGAAAGGGGAGAAGATGGCAACGAAGGATCCAACACCGTGCCTAAACCCGACCAGTACATGGCTAGGAAAGTAGCTGCAGCCCCCGGTGGATCTGGAAACCAATGGTATTGAACTTGCAGGCATCTTGTATTTGCACGCCCTCCTCTCCACTTACTATATTAGCATTCAAAGAACGATTCACAAAAAAAATACCCACACTTTTTGCTTCCCGGGCGGTCTTTGTGAGCAGCAATGCACTGAGTATCAGAATTTGGCGTTTGGGGACGATTGGCTTCACACGAACTCTCATCCACAAACCGTTTTACGAGTGGAAGGGCACGGAGAAGACATCGATGCTCTGGGAACTTGGTAAGAGTTTTGAGGTTACATTAATTTACTTACGACATTTCAATTTTTACCCATACCTGAATCTGCAAAGCGGGTGTAAGCACTAACTCGATCTGTAGTTTTGTTTCCACTGAAAACCGGACATTCTTACCTCCATGTTTCTTCCTAGTTCCTACGAATAAGCGCATTGCATCGGACGATAATGCAGAACATTGTTGCCATAAAACTTCAAAATCTTGTACGTGTAACTTTCATGTGTTGACAATACTGTCTAATATATTTATTATAATTATTATGCAAGTCTTGAGGACATCATGACAATTTCAACCAAGTTACTTTGCAAGTAATTTCTCTAATAGGGTAACTTCACACTATACTGTGTTCACTCCAGTTGCATGTTTCATTTTGATATTATGAGGTTCGGATTTGTTGCGTAAAAGTAAAGAGTAATATTACATGTATTCTCACTCCTACATCACTACTTTTTGTTTTAAGCGGACATGGTATGTTTTGGTGGCAAACTATGCCGTGAGCACGTGCTTACCATGCACATGGTGCACACGAATCTATATCCATAATTTTTATACTGTAAATCCATAAATTTCTAGACTCTCGGTGAGCTAAAATTATGAATCTAAAGTATGAATTTTAGCTCATTGAGAGTCTTGAAATTATGGATCTACAGTATAGCAATTATGGATATAGATACGTCGTTAGAAATTATGAATCTAAAGTATAAATTTTAGCTCACTGAGAGTCTCAAAATTATGGATATACAGTATAGAAATTATGGATTTACAGTATACAAATTATGGATATAGATTTGTGCGCACCATGCAAGGTGAACACGTGCTCACAACATAACGATTGTGTTTTGGTTGATCAAAATTAGAAGTGGGGCCCACAGGTTTATTTTGGGAAATGCTTCACGCCTTTATAAAAACATCTAACTCTATAATAAAGCAATAACTTGCTGAAGTTTTCGTTTTCCCGCCCACCTAATACTACGCCGTTTTGGCTTAAGTTATTGCTATTATATTTTTCCCGCTCATGCATTGTGCTGTGTATTTCCCATGCGTTAATGACAATTCGGCTAATTAATGCTAGATTATTTACCTTCACTATACCCCTCATGGCAATACCAATGCATATAATGTCAGAGAATTAATATCGTTTCTGACCTTTCAAGACCACAATATAATTCAAATTCTATCTGTATAACCTAATTGTACCAGATAATAATCTAAACATACGCATAGAAATTATTACAAGCCCCTTGGAATAATACAAATCTAATAGACAATATTAGGTTAATTAAAAAATTCAAATGAAAGGTCAGAAACATTAACATTTAATGAATTGTTGGTGTTCCAATGTTGTGGCTGCTCACTAAAACTCTTCGATTTTTGTGATTTGAATATCTCATTTGTGCCTATAAAGACACAAACCAGAGATTTGTTTCGTCCTACATTGAAGCTGTTCTTGCCATCACCATTAACCATCTTCAAAAGAGTTCTAAAGATGCCTTCCCTTTTTATTGCTGTAAAAGATATCCAACCTATACACAAACTGAGAGGTATTAGAGTACGTTGTGTAAGGGTGTATGTAGTGCCTGAAAGTAGGGGAGGAGGGAATACCATCAAGAGTATGGAGTGTTTGCTCCATGATGATCAGGTAATACATTATTTTTTTTACTGCATTTGTAACATAGACATGTACATCCTTAGTTCTTCATTCTGCAAAACAGATTCAAAAAATACCAGTGCGATGCACGAAGATAATCTTTGAAAATGTGTAGGGATGGAGTGAGTGAATCCCAGTGCAAAACACTTGGTTGAACTGGAATTCACTCACCCCATCTCTACCCATCTTTGAAAATGCTGTCAGAAGATGAGTACATCCTTAGTTCTTCATTCTGCAAAACAGATTCAAAAAATACCAGTGCGATGCACGTAGATAATCTTCGAAAATGTGTAGGGATGGTCTGAGTGAATCCCAATGCAAAACACTTGTTTGAACTAGGAAAAAATGATAAAGTTATGGGACTGTTTTACTGTAATATTTATTTCTTTCTTATCTGCAGGGAGATTATATACATGCCAATATTCAGAACACAGATGTTAGAAAATACAAAGAAGTTATAAAGGAAGGACAACTCTATGAGATAAAAAAATTTTATGCTGTTACAAATTATTACATGTACAAGATCACACGACACAAATATATGCTTAAGTTCAATTACAAAACAGAAGCCAAAGTGATAAATTCTAAAGGGTTTCCTATGCATATGTTTCGGTTGACCAGTTTTGTTTCATTGAAAGATCCAAATGAAGTGAATGAAAAAGAACTCATTGGTAATACTGTTCTACTCTTCCTAATACAATGATAAAAAAACTGCTTAATCTTATATATAACTTATTATGTTATTTAAATATTTTGCAGATGTGATGGGTCGTGTAGTGGAGATCTATAATCTTGTGACAAGATTGTGGGTGGTAAAGCAGCAAAATTGATTGACTTTCAAATATGTGATAATGCCTATGGTTAAACTTTATTATAAGTCTGTCTAGATGAAGTAAATTTATCTTAAATCCTACATGTATTTTATCTATTAACTTAACTGAGTAATTACTGCTGATGGCTACAAAAAACAGTGACTTTCAAATATGTGTTAATGCGTATGGTTAAACTTTATTATAAGTATGTCTAGTTGAAGTAAATTTATCTTAAATCCTACATGTATTTTATCTATTAACTCTTAGTAATTACTGTTTATGCCTAAAAAAAACAGTGACAATTACTTGATGTGTACCTTGTGGGATTCTCATGTTGACTCTTTACTGCCATATTACAATTCTGATTCGAAGGAACCAGTGATTGTAGCTATTCAGTGCTGTAGGGCCAAGGTGGTCAATGGTGAGTTTCATAAGCTTAGTCATTTCTTATTTTGTGTCACTATGTGAACCTAAGTAAGACTATTTACCCCATAAATATACTTAAGTAAGATTGTAACTACATACTTTTTTGTAGGTGGGGTTAGAATAACATCATCATATGATGCAACTAAGCTATGATTTAATGAGTTTGATGAGTTCAAAAAGTTCAGATCCAAGTAAGACTATTTACCCCACATACATACTTAAATTTTGCAGGGGAAGTGAACTAATTCAATGTTCTGTAAAATACAACTTTTGTGAAAGAAAAAAAGTTGAAGAAACCCCTCTAAAAAGTTTCAGCACTGGCACTCTACACTCACAGTCAACAGGGATTGAAAGTTTCCAAAAGGGTGAAACAATTGTCTCAACAATTTTTGATCTCTATAAAATCCAAGGGGTGAGTTATCTCCTACGCATTTTTTGTAATTTGAATTGTTGATCTTATAGTTAACCTATTTTATAAAACTAAATTACAGGATGGTCAGTATTTTGTTCCCGCTAAAATAATTGTTATAGAGGCTTCAAGAGGTGAGTGGTACTACATGGCCTGCATGAAACCTGGCTGTAACAAGAAACTCAAAGAATCTGAAGGGTCCCTAATATGTGACAAGTGTGAAAAACACTATCAGGAAGGTACAGCAAGGTATAAAGTTTTGGTTAGAGTTTTAGACAAAACTAAGGATGCACCATTCCTGCTTTGGGATCGTGAATTGGCTGATTTGGTTGGCATTTCAGCTGCTCTTTTGTATCAAAAGTACAAACAGGTATTTTCTAATATTAACCTTTTTAAAAAATGTTTTTGTTTTAAAGTTTAAATTTAAACTAACCCTAATACTTAGCAGGCTGATATTGACATTCCCCCTGAACTTGAAGTACTAAATGGTCTCTCAATGCTGTTTAAAATGGGGATTAAAAGAGCACAAATGAGAGGAAAAAATCCAGCTTTCAATGTATTGAGGGTCCTTAGGGATGAGAAGTTATTGTCCACCTACTGTGCCAATTTGTTTGAAAATCAAGAGAAAGATCTCATATCACATATGATAGAAGAAGATGAGAACATTAGTGACCAATCTGAGGTAAAATTGTTTACCTACTTTAAGTTCAAGTTCATGTGGTTTTCTTACACATCATTCAGTTTATTAAAAAATAATTAAATATCCACATTTAATGTGCAGGAAGCCTCTAAAGGTGAAGAGGTCAATAGTCCTGATAATACACATCCCTCACAAACCCAAGGGAATGATAGAGCTGACTCACCTACTGTGAAAAGATCCTTGATGGATGAGTTTTCATCATTAAAAGGGAGCAAAAAATCTAAGGCTGCAGTCATTAAGAAGGAAAAAATGAACTGAATTTGGGATTGTATATTTCTGAAGAACAATGTAGCACTTTTAATTGTGCTTACTTTTTGATTGTTGATAATGACTTTAGATTTCTGTTGAAAATTAACTCTTGCACTTTGACATTTCTGTTGGAACTTTTTCACAATCATGAAGCACTGTGGATTTTATTTGAATGTTATCCTATTTTATAGGCTGTTTTTATATTTTAAATGTGTGGCTATTATTATCTATGTTTTCTTTTTGGTTTAATTATTTTTCCAGGATAGCTAATTCAGTGGCGTTAAGTACAAGTTCCATAACTTAGGGCAGAGCAACCTGGAGCTGGAATGGATTGAAGACAAACATCTAGACTTAAACTGTTCCATTAGGGATCCTACATAGTCCTGTAATGTATTTGTAACCTAACATAAGTCTTGTAATGTATTTGTAATTCACTGAAAAATGAATACAAATTTCCTTCTAAAAGTTACAACTTACTACTATGTATCTATTTAAAACTAAACGCTATACCTCAACTTTGACTATTAGAACAGTATGCAATCCAAGCAAGCATCACATAAATATTGACAGTAATAGTAAAAACTTATAATAACTGCTAGATTGTGACAAATACTATAAGATTAATAAAGTTATCAAACAGAGTAGGAGTAAGACAATATTACAAATAAAAATATTCAGATTAGCCATCAAGTTAAGGGTCTCAAAAGAAGTTAATCAAATATGATTTGTTAAATCATATCAATAGGCAAAAAAGGTACATTATTAAAAAAATACACATTGAAACTTATTATATATATGAAATGGTTATCTTAAATAGTTGAAAATGTTTATATATATCAAATGCTTATCTTATATAGTGTTATTCAAAAAATTAATAACCATTTGTAATTTGAAAGGTTGGATAATTTTCAAATGTCAGAGTATTATAAGATAAGCAGCTACATTAGATATAAGACTATTTGTAAAATGTCATATTCATTCAAAATGTTAAAAAAAATGTTTTTTTTTTTTAAAAAGGCATTCACATAATGCATCACATCGTGTTAGGATATAATTCATGTCAAAACTGTGCAGGAATACTTATGTATATGTAGCCGCTTATCTATAATAGTGTTAAACTTTTGCAAAAAACTTTGCTAAAAAGAATGACATCTGAAAAGTGGTAAAGAGGACAAAGATTATTGAATATTAGTAACCATTAAGTAAGATTCATAGACTTCATATGAAAAGTTCTACTAATACAAGTTTGTGAGAGTACTAATTTGCCTTAAATAGTTGGGCATTACAACACTATACTACAACGAAGGTCCAAAAATGCTTTTTACATGACCAAAAATCTGCAAAAAATTAAAAGACACAAAACAAATGAAATGACAAAGGAATAATTTATCACAGTTCTGTTTCAGAGTAAGATAAAAACAACAGATGGCCCGAAAAATTGGAAAAAAAAAAGTCCCATGGCTAAACTTAGTAGCAAGTATAACATATATAAATACAATTTTCTAAACTTTTGAACTCTACCACAATTTTAGAGCAACAATTTTTAAAATCAATTACGGCATCAGAAATTTTAATGCAGTTAAAGACAAAAAATTCAATGCCGTTGAAACTTCAAAAAAATTGAAATTGAAAAGGCAGATTTTAGCAAAGTTCTGTTTCAGACTAAGACAACTACCAATGAAGGGAACTGCCAAAGGCAGTGCAATGATGATGTTTACAATAAGATAACTTGAACATTTAATTAAAAAAAAAATAATCTAAAAGACAGTCAATGACAAATAAAATAGGAAAAATTGACAAACATGGCTAAGCTTAGTAGCAAGTATAACATGTATAAATAAAATTTTCAAAACTTTTGAACTCTACCACAATTTTAAGAGGAACGATTTTTAAAAACAATTACGACATCAGAAATTTTAATCATCATTTGCCATCTACTGGGAACCAAGAAGTTAGTAATCTCCAAATATAACAAGTAAGACAAAAAATTCAATTCAGTTGAAACTAAAAAAAAATTGAATGTGAAATGGCAGTTTTAGCACAGTTCTGTTTCAGACTAAGACAGCTACCAATGAAGGAAACTGCCAAATGCAGTGCAATGATGATGTTTACAATCAAATAACTTGAACATTTACTTTAAAATAAAAAAAAAAAACAAAGACATCCAATGGCAAATAAAGTACCAAAAATTGACAAACATAAGCACATCTTAGGATTAGGTATATCATGTAAAAAAGGTATACACCAGCAGCACAATTATAGAGCAACAAAAATGACAAACAATTTGTATTCATAATTTATAATCGCAATTTCCCAACTACTGTGAACAAATAAATTAGTAATTAAAGACAAGTCATTTAATGCAGATATTTAAGTAAGATATTAACTAACACACAATTATACCAATTTCAAGAAAAAATGAACAGTCATACTATTTTTTTTTTTTATTGTCAGAACAACTTTTTGACAACTATGATTACTGAACATGAAATATATACAATACAGTTTATGTCACTAATATTAAAGATAGCTTATATCCATGCTAAACAGTTGAAATTTACACAGAATTGGAAAGATATGAGGCAGATTAAAGCATCCACAATCATAGGCACAAAGCGAAAACAACTAATTCACAACAAAGGTTAGATTGAAAACTCTTACTTGCATTGAGCTTTTTATAAATTGTAGTACTTACAATACTTCAACTGCATTTTTATCTTAAAAACCCATCTTCTTAACCTGTAAAGCCAAACAAAAAAAAAAAATTATAAACAAGAATCAAAATTATTAGGTTTACAGCTACTACTTTCGGTGTAAAGATCGTAAGAATGTATCTAATCTAGCAATTATATCATACAAACCCATTCTATAATACTATGCTAGAAGGCAGTCCCAAAAACAAAATATAAACTCTTCTATTCTGAACATTAATCTATAATTTCAGGGGACATGCATTCAAGAAAATGTAAATAAATAACCAATTATTAGTATATGTACTTAGCTTTTTTAGGGTTTTCTCCGACTGCGCTAGACCCTTGAAATCTTGATACGAACTTGAAATTGAAGGTACCAAAAGACGTAGGGTTAGGATTTTGAGCTACAAATTCCCGAGTTTAGGCTAATAACTAAACAGATTACAATAAAAAATAGTGAAACATGAGACACATCGCATGGTTTTCAACCCAAAGAAAGGTCACCTGCGATGGTCTACACCGCCGATAAGTATTATCGGACACGTTTTGGTCGAAAAATTTGGACAGAACAAGAGCTAAGCGGAGGAAGGGAGAGAGAGCAGGAGGCAGCCGATGCGGGGAGAAGGAATGCAGCTGAAGAATCGGGTTAGAGCAACAAACAAGGGTTATATACCTGGGGAGTAATGGGTCGGGTTTGGGTCATTAGATTGGGCTTCCATATTTGGGTCAGTAGGCCTGATCTTGAATCAGATGGAAAGTTGTGTTGTAAGTAGGCCTGATTTAAAAAAATGTGGCCTGATTTAAAAAAATGTTTGGATTATTAATTTGTCCTTCAATTAGCATGTTGCATGCCATAATTATTGAAATTATGCTATGTGGACTAAACTTATTTTTACAAACTTTCAGTTGTGTATGTTTAATTTAATCATCGCACAGGTACAGTGGTATACACAAATGTAAGGAACAAAGAATTGACTGTACATTTTTAAGTTATTAAAAATACATTAGTTTTGTACGCCAGTTAGATTATTAGCCCCCTCAATTATAAAAATTGTATACTTTAGTGCACCTTTATAAAAAACTGTAACTAAACCAATGCGATGATAAAATTAAAAATCATGTACCTATATTATTAAAATTGGTCCTTTATAAGTTAATGTTCCGTTATTATATTAATTTATTTCTTTCAAAAAATAATAAATCATATACATGTACTAAACTTAATTTTGAAAAAAAATTTACATTTTAAACTGGGGTCTACACAATATGATGGAACATGGGCCATCAAATAAGGCTTACGATGTATTTATGTGTAATGAATTTATTTTTTTAGTTTCAAATTTAAGTTGACTAATAATGGTCTAATTACTTATGCTTTGTGGACTATAATTTTGCACCCGCAATTATTGTGGCACTAATGTACTATTTGTTTACTTTTAAAAATCATGTACCTATATTATTAAAAATGGTCCTTTATAAGTCAATGTATTAGGCAGTTAGAATTCATAGCCTAGCTTAGCCTGGTCTTCAGCTTATATAGCTAATATTCTGTTATAGCTTGTGTAGATAAACCCACGCAGTGTATCTCTCAAAGTGTGAATGAAAATATATTTTTCCCAAGATATCTTCTTCAATCTGGTATCAATTTCAAAGCCATCGTTCCTTTCCTCCTTTTTTTTTTCTTCGATCCTTCATGGCCACTTCTTCCAACAGCAACTCCCAACCGGCCGATTCTTCACCGGCCGAAGACGCACAGGCGATCACCCCCGCTGCCGTTGCAACCACCACACTGCCTTCGAATGTGCTTCACCAGGCACATCACTACGTGTCAATTAAGCTGACCGCCACGAACTACTTGTTCTGGAGAGCGCAGCTTGTGCCGTTTCTTCGGGGACAGAACCTGTTCGGTTTCGTCGACGGCACCTCCACTTGTCCACCGGAATGTGTAGCTGCGTCCTCTGCCGATGCGCCGCCGGTGGTAAATCCTCTGCATGCTCAGTGGATACAACAAGACCAATCCATCCTGAGTATGCTATTCTCATCACTCGCTGAAGAAGTCTTGTACCTCGCTACAGGCCACGGTACGTCGCGTGCAGTATGGGTGGCACTAGAGACGGCACTCGGTTCCTCATCGCGTGCAAGGTCGCTCAGCTTGTTAGCTCAACTTCGGAACCTCCGACAAGGAGATTCATCCCCCACGGAGTATCTCAGCCGCGCTCAGGTTCTCGTTGAGCAACTCCATCAGGCCGGACGACCGGTAAGTCTTGACGAGCAGAACCTCCATGTTTTCAGGGGTCTGCGATCGGAGTACCGTGC